GAGCGACTGCCTTCGGCTCAGGTCATGATCCTGGAGTCCCGGGATTGAGTCCCGCATCGGGCTCCCTGCTCAGCAGGGAGTCTGCTTCTCCCTCTGACCCTCCTCCCTCTCATTCTCTCTGTCTCAAATAAATAAATAAAATCTTTAAAAAATAAAAATTAAAAAAAAAATAGAAATGGTTGTATGAGACATGAAGGCAGGTACATACCCAGGCCAGGGTAGGCTCCCCAGAGAAAGTGACTTCAGAGCTGACAGCTGGGGCAGGGGTGGGGAGGGGGTTAGCTAGGTAGACAGGTAGGGGAAAAGAGCTTTCTTAGCTAGAGAAATAGCAGGAGCAGAGACCCCAAGTGGGAGAGGCAACTGAAACTGTGTGGCTAGAGGATCTGAGGACAATTGTCCCCCATTTAGGTGAAAAAACATGTGCTGCGTGAGAACTTCCCCAAGGAAGCTTTTTACCCAGAAAGGGGGCTTTCTGCTGGGGTCAGTAATCAGATAGCAGAGTGGTGTGTCTCAGGGTTGTGAGCAGGGTTGGCTGGCCTCCTCTGGGTGCGGGTGGGGGTGGGGGTGGGGGGAAGCTAGGCAGCCTGGGTGATCCAGTTCTGACAGCAATCTTGGCCTTTTTGCATCTCAGCACTGCCTGATTTCCAACTTAGTGCCAAGAACCAAGTTTGTGATTCATGAAATCTCTTTTTTTTAAGTTAAAAAAAAAAAGTGTCCTCAAGATAGAACATTTCATCAGCAATCCCAGGAAAGTAGAAGTAAATACGGTAAAATAAAACCGAAATCCTTTAACAAGTTCTGCTTCATGCTAAATGACCTGTTTCTGACAGATAGCCATACTTAAAGGAAACTTCTGGCCCATCCACTTTGCTTTAAATGCTTTCTGAGCAGGTCGGTAGTCCTCTCTTCTGCTACTTCTGTTTTAGAAACACGAACTGTCTTCTCTAAAAACATATGCTTAAAATTTGCAATTTTGTGTCCTGCAGACTCTCTGGAATATGGTTAGAAACTGAAATCACTTGCCTGTGAAGATGCATAATATAATTGTATCTGGTGACCCCCCCCTCATTTAATGACATGGATTGATATGTCACTGTTCTTTCACTGCTGCTTTTTTTTTTTTCTATTTTATTTCTTTTTAAATAATGGGCACACTTTTGCCCTCGGAATCCTGTCTCATCACATTCTCTGAGTTCCTAACACACAGTTGGCACTCAGGAAAGAAATGTGACACAAAGAAATGATGATATCCAGCATCTTCTCTTGGGCTGGTTCTGTGATTGAATTCTCACCTGCAAGGTTAGTGTCCCTCCTAGACCACCCAGGAGGAATCAGCTTCTCCACGAGCCCCTGAGATCCTCCTGAGAAGGAGCTGGATCTTCCTTTCCTATGAATCCTTGGCTCCTGGCTCACAATAAATGTTTATTAAATGACTAGCATCAAAGTCCCACTCATGCTGTTGTACAAAAAAGTCCATTCCTGGAAAAACAACATTTCTAGAGATAATTATTCCAAAGGCGTGGGGATTGGTACTAGTCCTGGAAGCAGGGCAGCCCTCAGCAACATTCTTTAGTCAGTAGAGTGGATCCTTCTGGTCATCACTGCTCACCACATCCACTCCCCAGCGTCTCGCCTTCGGCCATCAGGTCTTTATCTCTGGCTCCTCGCTGTCTGGCATCAGGGAGCACTCATGCTCCCGATTGATTCCATCAGAATGAATAGCTCCCGTCTTCCCTCCCTCAAGGCCCTGCCATGGGCTTTCCAAGATGGTAGCAAGCTAAGAAGAAGCCATGGGCCATGCATGGTCTGCCCCAACTTGGCCTTTTCCAACCCCAGATTCCTCTCTGCCCAAGACAGGCTTCAGGTAAGGAAGCGAAGCCTTACCCATGCAGTTCCTTCTGTCTGGTGTTTGCTCCTCCCTCCAGTCCTCCCCTGCTCAAGGACGTCAAATTCATTCTTCAAGGTGTAAATCAAAACAGAATGTCTTCTGCTGAACACCGTTTGTCGCGCTTTGGGCAGTGTGACGCTCTTCCACCGAGCACACTTCTGCATTATATTGCACGTACCCATTTATGGAATTAGCTCCCATGTGAGACTGTGAGTCCTGGCTTTCATCATTGATTCCCTGAAGCCTAGCACATCCCTAACCCGGACCACAGTTGATTCCTTGAAAGACAGGGAGGAAGGGGAAGGAGATGAGAGCAGGGGCAAGAGAAGGAAAGGGCAGCCTCTCATTCCTTACTTGTTCTAACGTTGCCTGAGGGGCAATGTTGTGGCTGAGATTAAGAGAAGAAGGAACAGGGAACAGAGGGGCTTGGGTCTAGAAGGGGTTAAAATTTTTCGTGGGCCTGAAGGCTTCCCCCACATCATTTAATGAGATGTCTCTTCCAGGGCTTGGGATACACAGAGCAATGGGACTTCATAACACTTTAGCCTTGCTCACTTTGCTCCTGACTGGTCTGGAACTGGGGTGAATTTTTTCAATTGAATTCCATTTCTAGGGTGAGGCAGATCAACCAAAGCCCAGTGACCAGAGTATTACAGGAGCCTTACAGGAATGGTGAGTTTGGAAAGACCAAAAGGCTATGTGGTCTCTGTTGATGTCACTTTCCAAAGCAGTGATCGCCGTTGTCACGAGCAACCTCAGGCCGGACGGGTCCTCACCCACGTATTCCTGACATGGCCAGTGGCTGCGTGCTGGGAGGATTCCCTCCACACAGTGATGACATTCAGTTAAGCCACAGTTTCCTTGACCAGGGAGGAAACCCGTGTGGTTTGGGGTTGGGGGTGTGGTTGAGCAAGCGCAGATTTTTTCTCGTTGCCCCGTGGCTTGAAATTGCAACCTCTCTTTTAATTTTCCATTATGCATCAAATACATCTGTGCCAGAAGTGGACAAATGTATTCCGTCTGGGATGATGATCTCAGACAGCAATAAATTAGAGTCTGTGTACAGACATGCCAAAAATGTGGCCGCATGGTAGGGTGTCCCTGGGACCAGTCACCTCCTCCACAGTCTGCTTGGTGGCGGCAAGCCTTGGCCTGATGCCTCTGTCAATAGATTTTGCTTTGTATTTGGAAACTGTCTTTCCATCAAGTCACCGCAGAGGCAAGACGGGGGGGTGGGGGGTTGCCTGTGTGGCTTTGCTGGGCATATCTGTCCCAGATAGCCTCGGGGAGCTTCCAGGACGGTGCCTTCCCAAGGGCATCACTCTCTTTCCTGCACAAGAACAGCAATGACCTCAAAGCTGGTTTCTTCCCAAACTAGAACACGGCCCAAGAAAACCCTCTCCACTTTTTCTGGATTGGGCAGATAAGCTACCATATAATGCATTGAGAAAACAACATTTTTAAATGTACAAGAGTAATTACATGCTTCATGCAGACAATTTAAAAGATAGAGTGAAAAGAAAAAAGCCATCTGTAATCCTACCTTCAAAGATAAATAGTGTGAATGTTTTAGCATGACTTCTTTCAATATTTTTCCATGCCATGCTACCCTTTTAAAAATGCAAAACTCTTTTAAAGCTGGTTGAGTCCAGCTCCTTTAGTTGTCCCTCACATTATCCAATTAGTGCTTTCCTCTGAGTACTGGAAACTCTTACTTATTCCACATGAGAGAGTCCAGCTGGTTGAGCTCTAGCCCCTCTGACTCCTCACTGAAGTCACGCCGCTCTTCTGAAGAAGCTGGCCTGGAGGGGACAGAAGAGAATGACTAAGGCCTTCTATAAGTCCAGCCAGAGAACCCCAAAGGGCAGCCCCAGGTCTTGATATGCAGCCCTGCTAATAGAGGGACCCTGTGTACAAAGGGCTCTGGTCTGCCCCTGACTTTGATACCATTTTTCCTTATTAAACCTCTACTGGTCTGACTTCATCCTGTCCTGTTGCCAGCATCTGCGTCTGCTCTTGGGACAGGGACAGCCTCTAAACTGTTCATCTCGTGACAAGCTAGGGACCCCCACGCTAACTAGATGGGTTGGCAGAACCAGGACGCAGTCTTTATATCTGCTTACTTCCCCGTGTGACTTGAGTCCAGAAGGTGCCCCGCGAATGTCTGTTGCTTGACTGACGTGATGCAATTCGGGATGGGTGCTTGTGGTGGGAGCCTGCCGGCAGGCAGTTGCCACAATCCTGCAATGATAGAAAAGACCGAGCGTTGATGCAGAGCCTCACAAAAGCTCCCAGAGTGGCCCAGAGGAAGCAGGCAATGAGTCTACCAACCACTGCCTGCACCAGCCACACGGCCTCACCGTGAGTCGCACAGCACACAGACCATGCTTTTTCAGAAAAGTATTTTTTCCTTTCTCACTTTCCATGGAAACTCAAAATAGCAACCAAAAAAAAAAAACAAAAAAAAAAAACCCCAAAACAAAACAAAAAAACGGCCGAGCTCCCTCTCTGCCTGCAAAACCATCCCCAGGCAGGACAGTGACCGTGGAGGGCCCGGGGAGAGGGTGTCCTAGATGTCTCTGAAACAGCTTTCTAACTGGCCCTGCACACTCCTGAGGTGTGGTCAGGTCCTGAAGGTTGTGTGTTTCCTTCTAATTTAGAAGAGTGGGTTTCCACCAGGTCTGAGAGTTCATCTTGCTGTTGGCAACCCAGAGGCTGAAACACAGTCCCTCTCACAGTGATGCTGGTGAGGAGGTCTGGGGTCCCCAGCAAGGGACAACAGGGCAGGGGGCAGATGCCTTCCAGGGGGACTGTTATTGGAACATTCTTTTTGAGACGCCTCCCCGGGCTGTGCTGTCCACAGGGCAGCCCAGCAGAACGGAGACAACTCAGCTTGGAATCAGGAAACCCCAGTTCTGATAATCCCGTCAGGGACCTGGGGGGCTTTGAGCTCATCGTTTCTCCTCCTCCAGGAAACGTGAAGGGCAGACAAGCTGATTTCTAAAGGGATAGCCTTTTCCAGCCTCAGCACTCTGTGCCCCCAGCCCTCTCCTGGGCTATATGTACCCTGTCCCCTTCCGTTTGCTAAAAACCAGTGTTGTTTCCCCTTCAGTTGGCAGGGTCTGCTGTCATTGGTTTTGGACTATGGTTTCGGTTTGGAGGCACCATCAAGGATTTCTCATCGGAAGACAAGTCCCCAGAGTATTTCTACATGGGTGAGTGATTTCAGCTTCCCTGAGCTTCAGCTGGAGTTGCCCCAGAGGCTTAGAGAAGAATCTGCACCTGGACTTCCGTGGGAGGGGAAGTGAGGAGGCAAAACTGAGTCCTGTAGACTCTATCTGGCCCGGGGGGCTGGAGGGGCTATGTGGTCAGGGTGGGGGAGGACCCTGCACCCCTAGCCTGCCCGCTCCTCACATGGTTCATCGAAATCAAGAAAGACCAGTGTGGGAGGACAGACCCACTGTGCTTCTTTCAGCCACCACTCATTTCCAAAGAATTAGAAGACTCCTTTTTGCCCGCTGAGCGAAGTGGATGCACCACAAAGTCAGTTACACATCCATCCATCTGGGCTGATATGGTCCCTGCCGAGTGAGGGGTTTATTTGTGATCTTGTATTTTAAGTTGTCCATGAGGGAGATATAATTCCAAGTGAAGAGACATTTCAAGGTTCAGAGGTACTCACTTCCTCTCTAGAGACTGCAAAGGGCAGGGCTCCCCTGGGGATGAGGCCGCCTCCCCCACAGCTGTGGGGAAGGGGTGAGGGGTGGGGGGGTGGCCTGCAATTCTGAGACAATGTGGTAAATAGGGGCTGAGCGTTTCTCTGGGTTTAGTCCCCCTGATCTACTTCTCATCCTCTTCTGCGGGCTGTCCTCACTCTCCAGCCGAGTGCACCCAGACTCTAGATTTCAAAAAGCCCGAGACCATTGTCACTACAGGTCATAGCCCTATGTGTCTGGCCATTCCAAGGTCTGCACCAGCCACAGAGTACATAGAGTATGGGGAGAAGCAGGGTCCTGTGCAGGTCATTTGCTCCCGGTTCGAAGAAAAGCAGCGTCTGCTTCCTGGGAGGGAAGGAGCGCGCAGGCTCACTCCGAGCCTCGTAAAGCACTGCTCACAGCTCTGCTGCCTCCTCTTCCCAGTGCCCTTCCCAAACCCGAGCCTCCTGAAGAGAGCAGCCATAGCAGTGAGGATACTTCTAGAAGAAAGTAACCACAAACCTACTATAAGATGGGAGGCAGTAAGGACAGTCCACATTTCCTCAAATCTTAGATGCAGTCTTTTGTAAAACACACAGTTATGTTAAGTTCCACTAAGAAAAGAAGAAATGCTGCCAATTCAACCATGCCATACCATAAAAGATGCATCCTAATTTTAGGGACATTAAAATGTGACTATGTCCAATGTATATTGAAATTGGTGAAACACGCTGAAAGAAGCGTGGAGATGGGGACTCTCCAGAGTTAGTTCAGAGTTCAACAAAGTCATCAAGGACCAAGGTTTTTCCCATCTTCCCCCTGGCCATCCTCGGGATGACCTCAAATGCATCCCCTTGGGTTTAGATAGTTGCAATGGCTCCAAGCATCATGTCCTCATACAGCGATGTCCAAAAGAGGGGGAAAGAAAGGAAGTTTCCCCTCACATGGCCCTTTTTAGGAATGAATACAACCTTTGTCAGAAGACCCCCAGCAGGCCTCTCCTTGCAGCCTTGGCCAGAACTGTACTGTGTGCTCATGCCTGCATGAGTCCTGGCCCAGAGGAGAGCTCCTGTGACTGCCCCCTGTGACTAAAAGAGAATCCCCCTGGGCTTGGGAAGGGGCCCAGGCTCCCCGGAGGGCCCCTCACACTTGGACAAAATCAGAGTTTTGTTACAAGAAGAAGCAGAGGAATCTGCCATCAGACTTAAAACACTGAAATGCTCTTTTCCACCCACATGGTTTCCAGGTTACACACACCCCTCTGTCCAAAGCTAACACACACGCTTAACATATTTCTCCTGGAGGAACTTCTGGCTCTGTGAACCTCCTCAGAAGCGTTCTCCATCCCAGAGCAGGCCCCAGTGCCCCAGGACAAAGCTCAGCATGTCCTGGTCCTGCGCCACCTCCAGGGGACGCGCAGGAACAGTCAGGGGAAGGTAGCAGAAGGAATGCATCTCCCCTCGTGTTGCTCATGGTCCCGGGGCAGCTTATTTCATAACTGTTCCCTGTGATTTCTAACTCCGCTCGGCATTGTCACATCTCAGTGCCCACTGGATTACCCACAGCAAAGTTTTGATCCCGCCGTAATGGGATTCTTGCCTCTACAGACATATGCAATAATAAATAGCAGACAATAATCACAAGCATATGTTAAGTGCTAATGAGTGGTACAGTCAGAATCACTGAATTAAGAAGTGAGAAGGGGCACCTGGCTGGCTCCATGGGTAGAGCATGCAACTCTTGATCTCAGGGGTCGTGAGTTCAAGCCCCACATTGGGTGTAGAGCCTACTTAAAAAAAAAAAAAAGATTTTGTGTGGGAACAGTGGTGGTATGTGCCTGTGACTTTAGCAGTCACATTAAAAAAGCATCACAGATTTAGGAGAATCTGGCTGGCTGGCTTAGTCAGTACAGCATACTACTCTTGATCTCAGGGTCATGAGTTTGAACTCCACGTTGGGCCAAGAGCTTACATAGAAGAAAGAAGGAAGAAGAAGAAGAAGAAGAAGAAGAAGAAGAAGAAGAAGAAGAAGAAGAAGAAGAAGAAGAAGAAGAAGAAGAAGAAGAAGAAGAAGAAGAAGAAGAAGAAGAAGAAGAAGAAGAAGAAGAAGAAGAAGAAGAAGAAGAAGAAGAAGAAGGAGAAGAAGAAGAAGGAGAGGAAGAAGAAGAAGAAGGGGAAGGGGAAGAAGAAGAAGAAGAAGAAGAAGAAGAAGAAGGGGAAGAAGGGGAAGAAGAGGAAGAGGAAGAAGGAGGAGGAGAAGGAGAAGGAGGAGAAGAAGAAGAAAGAAGAAGAAGAAGAAGAAGAAGAAGAAGAAGAAGAAGGAGAAGAAGAAGGGGAAGAAGAGGAAGAGGAAGAAGGAGGAGGAGAAGGAGAAGAAGAAGAAAGAAGAAGAGGAAAGAAGAAGGAAGAAGAAGAAGAAGAGGAAGAGGAAGAGGAAGAAAACACTGGAGGCCAGTGGGAGCCAGCGGGACAGGCCTCAAGATGGAGGTGTGCTTGAATAGGGCCTCAGAAGACAGTGGGTTTCAGATAGACTGAGTTAGGGAGAGCCTTATTCAGGACTCTGAGTTAGCACTGGCCAGTGTAAGGCACGCAGCTGCCCATCATTTCTCTAGCCAGAGGAAGAGATGGCTCATCATTCAGGATACTCTTTTAGGGGCGTCTTCCTAACCTAGCTCCTCCAACTATATATAACTGATCCTCAGAGTGAACATTATTTTCTCTCTCTACTCTGAATTCAGTAGTTACCTGATGATGTCCTAACACGATGTCAGTCCCAACAAAACGGTGAAAATCTTTTGCTCCTGAAATTCAGGCATATAGAGGTTCAGGGTATCAGCCTTCAGTCTGTCTTCTCTTCACATGCTGTTGGCTCTGCACCGGAACCCTATTTATCTCCTCTTCCTCAGGTAGGACTCGCAAGACTTTCCATCAGAAGCTGCTTTTGTGCCCTCAGGTAGATGGGGAGGAGTCCGCCCTTCTTTAGAACCAAAACATGGGAAAACATCCACCCATTCACTTACAGGCAGACATTCTCCTTCAACTTGTTTGGCAATAACTAACTGCCAAACACCCAGCTACCTACCCCCCTCACCACCAAGGTTGAGGCTGAAAGATGTAAATCTCTATAATGTAATTCCTGAGCTTGAACTGGGAATTTGGGGCTGCAGTAAAGAAAAACCATTTTTATAAGACCAGAAAGACCTGGGTTATATGAAAAACATGTAAGAAAGGCTGTCTCCCTCTCAATGAGGATAAACATCTGGCTATCTAAAAATCTCTTCATGGTGTTTTTAATTTGGGGATTTCATCAGGTATTTGGGTTTCTGCAAACATAGTTATGCATTGAAGCAGGGGCTCCTCTATTCTTTCCCTCTTTTTTTATAGGCTCTTCCATTTGGGAAAAAATATAATCTATTCATGGGTACATCAGCCAGCCTCTATAGTCCTGGGCTCTGGAGTTACACAAAAGAGGATGAGAACGCTATACTCGCTCCCATGTAGCTTCACGATCTATTTGAAAAGACTCACAGAGTTAACAATGTAAATTCTAATGGAAACGAGCGTGTAACTAAATGCCAGCTAAGTGGTATTTGCCGTGGGTACATCAGGGGTCATTCTAAACCAGCGAGGCGAGGATGTGATTTAGGTTTGAAAGACCAGGCTGTCATCAATGAGTGGAAGACAAACAAGGAAAGCAGAGGTTGTTGGGCAAAGACTGCAAAGGCGCATCCAGGGGATGGTGATCAGCAAGCCCAGGCTGGACAGAGGACTCTGGTTGGAGTGGAACAGATTGGGGCAAGGTGGGAGGTAGGATTAGAAGTGCCAGGGAGGGAGGGAGAGGACAAACACACAGGACCCTGAATGTCATTTGGTAAAGCCACAGAGGGATAATTCAGGGTTTGGGGGGAGGTACGATCGGCGCTGCATTTTAAAGAGATTATTCTGGCAGCAGTGGAATGAGAGGGGAGACAGAAAAGAACATGCTAGGTGACTGATACCGTCAGACAGAAGGGCATCAGCGTGGTGGTTGTCAACAGTAGGAACTATGAAGAAAGAGACAGGAAGACAAGCAACGTTATTAAACGTTATTATTAGACAGTATTAAAGTCAGGGACAGAAGGAATCAAAACAATCAAAGATATCAGTGATAGAAGAGTCAAGCCTAGCAGGAATAATTCATGATTCTCAGTGGGAACCTGAGTTGCAGAAGGAAGGGCTCCTGCTCGGGCGGGGGAGGGGTGCTGTGAACCTGAGGTTCAGTGTGGGGAGCACCCTCTGTCCGCGTTGGCCCACAAAGTGCTGATAGCAATTTCATACGTGTCGATTTGGGTCCAACGTAAGAAAACCTTTTTCATGTTTTTATAAGCCCAAGAAACTGAGCAGACTCCCACAATAAGAGTGAACTTTCCCCTACATTGGTATTTACTTAACCACTAACGTGGCAAAAATCAGAATGGAGTGTTTGTCAGTTCGGGAGGTTCCAGGGTTGAGTAGGAGGGGAACTAGTTCCATGCAGACATT